TGTGTGTGTGTGTGTGTGTGTGTGTGTGTGTGTCTGTGCGCGAGAGAGATTGTATGATGTATATAGTATGCGATCTTTAGTATGTATGTGCGTACGTGCGTGCGTGCGTACGTGCGTGCGTGCGTGCGTGCGTGTATGTGCGTGCGTGCGTGCACGCAAATGCCATAAGAACGGATCCCGGGCTCCAGGATCAGGGGACTCTGGTTTCGTGACTCCTCCCACAAAAAGTGGGCACGCACCCGCGTTTCGATATTCGATTTTTTTTTACAAAAGTTTGCGGCATTTAAAGTAATAAAATTTTAAGTTGTTAATTAAAAGTCCCCTCCTCTAAAATAAAAAATTGGGAAGGTTAATTTTATGAGGTAATTGCATTCATTCTCACATTAAGACGAGTAGTGAGGCAGACTCCATTGCTTTAAAAAGTGCATTTCGGTTATAAAAATCTCGTTACTGCCTTGAAGGGGGAGACGGTATTTGTTCTCTCTAGAATATGGCGCGGGGCGTATATATTTATCCCATAATTATGATGACAACACAGAGTGGAATAATAGTTATATGCATGGTTTTGATTTTGTTTCTAAATACATGAACTGAGTTTACACGCAACTCAAAATAACAACTTAACTTTGTACAACAAATGATATATATATATATAAATATAATAGCAGAATGTGACATCAAAATAATACTAGGTCTAGGTAACAGAATCTGAAGATCACTTTTACGATCTTCGTTCTAAATCAATACAGCGGCGAGATAATATAATGTCCCGAATCTCAATGAGTTCAAACGCGATAGATGCTTAACACTAGCAAGAGTCAATAACGTCGTCAAACACCTAGCCGCATTTTCAGGCAGCCAGCCAGCCAGCAGCCACACAGACACAAGCACACGCGTATTATGCGTTCGTCCACACAAACCAGCAGAGCACGAACTTGTGAGCAGCTAGTTCGCTCTCTGTTGTACCATTGGTCCTAGGCGACGCTTGGTACTCCGACCTCTCATTCGCCTGCGCCAGTACAAAATAGTTCCAAAACATTGTCAACTTAAGCATAACGCACATAGTAACACAAATAAATGCAAATGGCAAGAATGCATAGGGCGCTATCTTAACACCACGTGTTGTAGTTGTTAATTTTAAACAAATCCACGCGACTAACGCGACGATATATTCTGGCGGAAGGGTACAAACCCAAGCCAGAGGTGATCAGTGAGATTGAAGCTGTACAAAGAACTTGCAAGTTGTGTTGTGATCAGTGGACGGACTTACGTTTTCACCGGATTCCCATATATTACGTGGGGATCTACGATTTCAAAAGCTGGCAGTTCACGAAGAGGAAGCAGGGCCGGTGATCGGTAGAATCAGCGTGAATTTCTTCATTTGATTCCGCTGTTTTTAAGGTAAATCGTGAAAGATGGTTGGCCCATGCCTGCCGCCATAGTCGGCCATGTTTCTGCCTTGCATAGATGTTATTGTTAGGTTTAATGAGTGCTACGAATTGTAGCTAACTTTAAAAAGCTTGATTAATAGGCACGCCTTATTGGATGATATTTAAATACTATATTCGTGCATGATAACTCTTCGGTCTTAAATAAATATTAAGTACGATTATATTTTGTTCGCTGGGAGTGGAGCGATGCATTCAAAACCGTCCAATCTATTCATCTTCTCCTTTCTCATCTAACCGCGTTACGTGCACTCGTGCAGTGAGACTGTGATGTTTTAGACAGCAATAAGCCAGTCTCTCACTGTGCATTCATGTGTCATTTAATTATGTGAAATAGTTTTAAAAGTGAAAAATACTTAGAGTACGCACAGTTAGTTTCCGAAATTTTTATGAAGCTGACATACACATTGTTGTACATGTAAGTTCACATCGTTGTTGACGTAACAACCTATACAGTACATAAACCACCGTTATCACTATCAGTATGGTGTAGTACATATCTCTAGAAATAATTGTGCAAAGCGAGCCATCCAACCTAGTTGCACGTGTAAATATTTCAATGGTAAATGTCTTACAAGTGCACTCATTTGCTTTGGTAACTGCCTAATATTCTTGAGCAAAATTTGTTTTGTTTTTTAATGAATGCGACATCTATAGAGCCAGAGTTAAACACATGCATCTTCTTTACATTTTCCAAATTGTTCAGCATCAGGTCAGCTTGCATGCATGTGTCTCAGACTCTCAGTGTATAGTGAGTGCCTGGGTGATCACTGGCGGTATCTTCAATATTTTTAACGCTGTGGCTATATGCCGGCAGCCTGGCACGGTCTTCGATTTCCTAAATGCCCGGCAGTTCCTAACCCTAACCCTAACCCTTGTTTACTTGAGATAACGCTGAAAATTAAAAACTGCCGGGCATTTAGGAAATCGAAGACCGTGCCCGGCAGCCGTCAGATATATGCCGGCTGCCGGGCATATAGCCACTCTGTATTTTTAATCTAGTCAGATATTGAGAAAAATGTGTCACATAAATGTTGGACTACAACAGTTGCAATTTAGTGTAACGTTTGAGAATTGTATCGTAGGTAAATTGCAGGAGCTGACATATTGCATTTGTTTGTATAAGTATGGCAGTGTTATTGTTATAAATAAGTGTAAATTGAGAAAACATGAATGGTAATTGTCTAATATTCGCTACAAAAAAGATTATGCACTAGCAAGTACACTACTTAATAGAGTAGGAAGTAATGATAGTTGATGTTAAGTCATGTGTAGGATTGTAGTATTCTATATATACTTTTAACTGTATATGTGATTTATGTACTTAGTTTATAAAAGTGTTGGGTATTAATTATATCACATAAGTGAATTAATCTGTTTTATTAATTTCTTTCAGGTGTGAGCCCGATTTCTTTTAGTATAGGCAACAAAAATGAATCATGCACCTGGGCATGTTCCGGATAAAGAACTAGACGATCTACTTGATTTTAGTGCTGTAAGTAAAACTCCATATTGTATTATTTACATTTCAACATTTTAATGCATCGGAGCTACAAACCACTTTTATATAGCTTTGATTACCATGTCTGTATCCTGCTTTCCATGCAAAAAGTACATTTTTGAAGCAGGCAGAGATTTATTTTAAATATGTGTAAACAAAATGGACATGTCTGGTGGTTAGAGGAAAACAGGATGCATATATGCCTGTAATTATGAAAGTCTAATGAATTAATTGCAATTTGCAATATATACATGCACATGTGGTGAAATGTAAATCTGCGCATTTATGCACGCTTTAATCTTAGCCATACTTTATCAATGAACATTATAAATATAAGGTAGCATTATACGTAAGACACATACTTTCGCATTTGGGTATATGAATGTATCCACTCTAAATATGAAACATGAAAGCATAATAACCCAATGTAAAAATCTCATTTATTTACCAGTTTAGCTTTATAACACATAGTGTACTAAAATAATTACAGACTAAAAGGGGAATGCTAATAATTTGCAGTTTCTGTAAGGGACAGTTTAACTTTAATGTATACTTCATCTTGTAACTGTAAGTATGAACTGTGGTGAAAGGGCTGTCTGCTAAGGTTTTCCTGTGACTGGCCATCCTGTATGCATGACATATGCAAGAGATATATATGGCTGTACAGTAATTTTAAAACAAGCTTTTATTATGGAGATGTGAGGCTATCAAATTGCGACTGCCGTAAATAAGCAGTGGGCAATATGAATAGACTATTGAGCATGATTGCATAGCCTCCAAACATACAAGTGAGAATACGCATAATTCAGTAGGCATTCTATCTCTCCAGGCTGAATTATGCTACATGTACTATACAAATGTACATAAATATTTTTAACAGTTGGGTTTAGCTAGTGCTTAATACATGAATATAAATTTAGCTACAATTATGCACATGTCTATCCACACACACACATGCGCACATGGTGAGAGTGCTCGGTTGTTCTGTTCGTTATGGATGTGTTCCTGATGACCATGACAAACAGTGATATATTTATTATACAATAACACTCCCAACCCACTTTCGTATAGGTATCATTCAAGATACCATCACAAGGAATGTATGTTACACTGGCATATTATTACTCATTATTTTGATAATAATATAAAATGCATTACTGTACAGTATTACTATAATTCATTTAATTGTTATATTTGTTATTATATTATTTATTATATTATATTATTAGTAGAATTATAAATGTGTGTGCGTGCGTGCGTGCGTGCGTGCGCGTGCACGCGTGTGCATCGTGATACTTGGTCATGCAGGACAGGTGTACATAAAAGCATGAAATCATCACGGTAAAGATGAGTCATCGAGTTCTACACATATATGCACTGCAGTCACGATTATCTTGTACGTGGGTAGATAAACTCTTAGAAGTTATTCACGCATCAACTCCAGTAGTAATACTATTTTATAGGGAGTTACATGGCATCAGCGTGTTTTTCACTACCTGGGTCCGTGGGCGTAATTATGCTTCATAGAGCAGTATTCAGCTTGTAGTTGGCAGGTAAGCGCGCAGCTCATGTGTGCAGACATTTCGTGCAAGGTCATTCTTGGATTGAACAGAGTCGTGCGTCGTGCACCGGTCGCGTGCCAACTTACGAAGACAAAGGTTTGGCGCAACTAATAGTTGCCCGTGGGCGGGTTTTCGGCTGTGGACTATTAACCACGGGAAATGCAAGCGCATGGAGAACTTGAACCAGTTTTATGTCGGAAATTTTTATTGGCCATCTGCAGAGCTCTCTATGTATGGGTTATATTAATGACCTGGCTCCAATTAAATTTGCATGTTGTATGCCACTACTGACAAGTTTATGCTAGATGCAAATACAAGAAGTTTGATGAAATTCAAGGAATTTTTACCTAGCAAGATGCAATTTACTAATTCTTGGTGTGGTGTATAAGAATTAACATTGCAGCATAGAAAATTATTATCCACCATGCCGGTAGCATTCTTGTTGAGACTGTCATTGACTCTTTTTCTCTCTCTCTCTCTCTCTCTCTCTCTCTCTCTCTCTCTCTCTCTCTCTCTCTCTCTCTCTCTCTTCCTCTCTCTCTCTCTCTCTCTATCTCTCTCTCTCT